TTCTTACAGAGCAGGGGTTACTTGTCTCATGGCAGGGAAGGGAACATTCTCAGCATTATTTCTGCCTTTGTAATCTTATGAATGACATCTCAGTCCTTTTGAGAGTTCAGCTCCGAAATCAGTGTAGCTGTTGTAAAAAATTCTACAGTGAGCTGCGTAGCATTTCCAATTCTGATGTACCCGTACATGCATCTGACAATAGTCACCAAATTTGATTCAAATATATTGATATATGAAGTCATAATTTTCAGCAAATAAGTGGTTTTCCAAAAGAACTTTATCCAACTTTAAGGAAAATATTACACAAGAAAGGGCAAAAGTTCTGCTTAGTTCTCAATTCTGGATTAAGCAGACTTTGTCAGCTGATCAGTCCTGTGTTGCACTTGTCTCTATTAATTCAGTTTCTGTCAACTCTTAGACCTAAAAATATTCATCGAAGGTTTGTTTCAGTGGTCCACAGCCTCAGTTCTTCAGAAGTTCAGAAGGGCTATTTCAATCACCTCTCCTAAAAATTGGCTGCACCTGGGTATCACCCTTAAATTCCCATCTGATGTCAGGCCAAGCACAAGCACCTCATGATAAAATCTTAGAATCATAGAATGGTTTAGGTTGGAAAAGACCTTTAAGATCATCAAGTACAATCATGAGCCCGATACTGCCAAGTTTACTAAATTATGTCCCTAAGCACCACATCTGCGCGTCTTCTAACACCTCCACCACTGCCCTGAGCAGCCTGGTCCAGTGCTTAGCAACACTTTCCATGATGAAATTTTTCCCAATGTCTAACCTAAACCTCCTCTGGCACGAGAGGCCATTTCCTCTTGTCCTTTTACATGTTACATCAGAGCAGTGGCAGGCCCCACCTTGTTACAATGTCCTTTCAGTTAGTTGTAGAGAGCGATAAGGTATCCCCTCAGCCTCCTTTTCTTCAGGCTAAACAACCCCAAGTCCTTCAGCAGCTCCTCATGAGTCATGCTCTCTAGACCTTTCACCAGCTTCATTGCCCTTCTCAGGACATGCTCCAGCGCCTCAATGTCTTTCTTGTAGCAAAGGGCCCAAAACTGAACACAGGATTTGAGGAGTAGCGTCACCAGTGCCAAGTGTAGGGGGACAATCACTTCACTATTCCTGCTGACCACACTATTCCTGATGCAGGCCGGGACACCAGTGGCCTTCTTGGCCACTTTGACACACTGCTGGCTCACGTTCAGCTGACTGTTGATCAACACCTCCACAACTTTTTCCACCTGGCAGCTTTTCAGCCACTCTTACCCAAGTCTGTAGCATTGCATGGAGTTGCTGTGATCCAAGTGCAGGATGCAGCATTTGGCCTTGTTAAACTTTGTACAATTGGCCTTGGCCCTTTGATCCAAAAGATTCCTGCGTAGAGCCTTCCTACCCTCCAGCGGATCAACCCTCCCACTTAGCTTGGTGTTTTCTGCAGACTTCCCATTGAGGGTGCACTCAATCCCCTCATCCAGACCACTGAAAAAGATGTTAACAGAACTGGCCCCAAAACTGAGCCCCGAGGAACAAGTAAAGCTTGAAGTTTACATTATCCAAAAATAATCTAAGTAATCTTTTCCTTTCTCTTTTGAGGACGTTTTCCTGCTTTTCTATGCAGGGTCCTGAGCTTGAATAAAGGAGAATGTTCCCTGGGGAGCTGCCATAGTAACTTGTGATGTTATTTTTTTGTTGTCTTAGATTAAATATAAGCAAGGGAGAAATTACATAGAAGAATTTTGTACCTGAGTTTATCATCTTTGTATAACACCAAACCAAAGATCCAACTTCCCAAAGCAATAACAGTCACCTTGAAGATGATGTCAAGTTGGTAATTTCAGTGGAAAAGAAATTAACTGCTGTATTTATTATTCAAGAATCCTGATTAAAAAAATATTTCCATATCTGAAAGATGTAGCAAATAAGAAAGAGAATGAGATCATTAGAAATGTAAAGTCGTGGAAGTGTGAATAGCTACTTGCAATAATATCTAAACTTGCAATGCATGAATGCCTTACATATTCTATTTTCTTCTTAATAGGGTTCAGCGATAGCCTGCTTTTAAACTTATAGTCAAAAGGAAAACTTCAAACACGTGTTGTCCTTGGAAAATAACTTCAGCTCTTATATTGCATACAAGGAAGTGATTTTGGAATGTACTGATATCAGTTCAGCAACATAATTTGAAGATTTAGAATAAAAACAAAATTTGTTTTTAGAGAGTGTGATGGGGAAAGAATCCACACAAACTGCTCTCGATTATGAGCATCAAAGGCAGATCAGGAAGTCTGGGATCAGGAAAGGGCATGAGAGCTGAGTTACCAGAAAGGTCATTACCATGAGAAATAGCCTAAAAGCACGATGCTGGGAAAAATCAAAGATGAGCCTGGGAGGCCAATGGGGAAGGAATGCACAAGTGGATTGTGCAAGGAGTTTATGGAGGAGGTCCCAGCCCCTGGTGTAGGGAGGTGGAGGGCTGTCCCTGGGGCGAGGTCCCTGCCAGTACTCGCATCACAGTTGGTCCCCTCATCCGCACCCGGACACCCTGGCAAGAGCAGGACATCGCATGGGACTGCTTGGCAGTGGCATGGGGAAAAGGAAGACCCAGGTGAGCAGATGAGTATATAATTTAGTGCTGCTGGATTACCAAGACGGGCCTGATTGTGTGCGGTTTTTTCCCCTGGCGGCTGTCCTGCCCACCCACCCCAGCTGCCCAGCATTTCCCAGGATTATTTAGTTGAGAGTTGGAGGGAAAATGGTGTGGGAGGTGGGAGAACTTGAAGCCTCTCTCTGAAGTGCAAGTCAGTGTCTCCCCAGCAGTGCAAAATAGCTGACAGGGCCACTGTCAAGTTTAGTCATCCCCAAGATGATGTCCTTCAATGCTGTGTATATTATACATTTCTGTTTATCTTGAAAACATGCTGTCTAAACACTTTAAATACAAGTGACTTCAGTAACTGTAGCTGCTTGCATCTTGGGGCTGTTGGTGGAAACTATGGGCCTGGGTGCCCTGAGGGAATGGGATGGGTTGGGAAGGCTGCAGGGGAGAGGGTGCAAGGGAGGGAGTGATGTACAGCTCTGCACATGGCATAAGTGGAAACAAAAACCCTCCAAAACTGGGAGTTTTGTAGGAAACTTCTTTTAGCAGAGGAATAATATTATGAAAACACAAGTCTGATGTGAGATAAAGCAGCTAGTGATGTGGAAGACAACTGTGAAAATCAGACAGAGACTATTGCAATAAAATGTTACTGCAAGTGGAGCTATATTGCAGTTGCCATGACCTGTATTAAGGTATTTTGGATTTTAAATGTAATCAATAATTCTCTGACCTTTTGGGCAAGCTGGGGAGGGTGATGAAGGACTTTGGCTCTCAGAAGTAACCTGGAGAAACTCACAGATCCAATGCTATGTGATGCAGATGAATGGGAGAGGGAGGAGCAGCAGGTTTTGGAAAAGAGAGGGTGAAAATAGGGCAGAGGATGCACAATGTGATGGCAGAGATGGAGGGTATGAGGAGGTTTTCTGTGGTGGTCACCCCATGTCTAACGCTCAGGGCAGAGACACAAGGGCTATATTTGTGAAGGTAGAACTCTCCTCACCCATGGAAAGGCAGAACTGGGTTTCCCAAGGGATAGGAGGGCAGCTGGAGGACCGCAGCAGGTGAGAGGGGGCATAGACCTGGGTGAAATTTGACAACTAGCTCTTTTTTTTTAAGTAGAAAAGGGCACATTTGTTCTCTTAGAAACACTGTGCGGAAAATCTAAGAATTCCAACAATTTCGTTTTAAAAAATAGTTCAACCTCGGTTCACATGACTTCATCATGAAAATCGCACAATGTTAATCTTGGTAAAAATTGCAAAAATAAGATTTTCTTTGGCACAAAATATTTTTTTGTGATTTTTTTTTTCATTTAAAAAGACTGAAGTCCTTCCTTTGCCCAGGTTTACTCACTACTAGAAGGTGATTTAAACTGCAATATTTTGGGTAGAGGGAAGGAGGGAAGAATGTTGAGCAGATAAGTCTGAGGTTTCTGTAACTGAAATGAGAAGCATTGGAGGTACAGTCCCACAGTATGGATTTTAAAGAGATGGGTTTTCTGATAATGTGAAAAAGAGGCAGCTGGGTTGTAGTAAAGAGATGAGCAATCACTGTTGCAAGGCTAGAAAGCAAAAAAAAAATGGAGCTATCAAGGGATATGAGGAAAAGAGTGATGAGAGAAATGAGAAGAAAAGATGGAGAATTATCTATGGGTTGTGCAACCTGCAAAGAGCAAAAGAGCTCTCCTGGCCCTGATGTCCATGGGCTGTGGTTTGGAGTTTTAAATATTTATGCATATTGTATCGCTCGGTGCTCTTTCTGCTGTGGATTTTAAGATCAAAAAGCACAACTGCCACTGCATTTTCGTGGCATTCAGTTAACACAGGCTACTGGGCCTCAACAAGAAAAAGCTGCTCTCGAGGCTAGTTTACATGGTGATCCTTTAAAAACTTTTTTTTTTTTTAATGTTGGTTTCAGCCCCATGACAATTTTTAATTTATGTGTCTGTCAGTCACTTGGGAACAGTCTATTCTGAGGCACAAGATATTCTCATATTCTACTCCCTTACATGTCTGTAAAAAACAAGCAGAGATAAAAGGACAGTCCAAGTTTTGACACAAAAGCTTGTGGTGCTGACATAGAGTTGCTTTCTCTACCAGTGACAAACTTCTCAGTTTCTGTAAACTACACTTCTGGTGTATCCCTTACCTTTCAGAGTCAAAGGGACAACATAGTCTAATGCAGGAACTGATTTATTTGCTTGCTCCTGTCTACTGTAATTCTGACCTTGAGTTTTGGCCGTAACTCTGTGCATTTGTGTTCCCTGTTCTTTCAGTCCTGACTAAGCTACAGCCCCGCTGTGCCACCTGCTCCATGCCAGAAGACATTGGCCTCTTGTAGAAGTCATATAAGAAGTCTTTTCGTACAGTCCTCCTCAATTTACTAAGGAAAGGCCATGTCTGCTTTTGATCTGACAAACCAGAGCATGCAGTGTGCAGAGCCTGAGACAGACTCCATCACCCCGCGAATTAAACTGAGGGATGAGATATCTGTCTTTATTGATGGTAAATGGGTGAATGAGACCCGCTGCCAGCCAGCCTTTTCTTCCCATCAGATGCTCTTCAACAAGAAGGCACAAAATGAGTGGAGTGTCTGGGAGGAGAACAGAGCCCTCTGGGAGGAAAACCAAGTCCTCTGGATCCAAAACAGGATGCTCTGGGAAGAAAACAAGGCTTTACAATGTCTCCAGTCACAAAACAAAGCTGTCCAAGTTATTTACACTGACAACATTCAGCAAAGCCTGCAGAAGGAACATAAGCCATTCTCGATTTTCCAAGAGAAGATAATAGGCTTTCAGGTGAGCCCAAGCCACAAAGTTCACCAGGTAGTCCAGGAAAAGTATAGAGTCTTAAAGGATTTCCAGCAGGAGAATAAAACAGTCCCCATCAACTGGGAAGGCCAAAAAGCCATCACACTCCATGAAGGGAGCAAAGATGCCAGCTCAGATCTTCAGAAGGACACTGACACCATCACAGCTGTGGAAGAAGGTAACCCTGGAACATGGAGCTAAACCAAAGAACACCTCTCTGAATCAAAATAAAATTAAGTCTGCCCCAAGCATGCAGGGTGATTCTGAAATCCTCCAGGCTCTCCAGGACTTATATGAACTCCTCTACACCTTCCTGAAAGTGAACCATCTCCATGGGGAGAAACAGGGCTGTCACACTCTCTACAACACGAACAGATCCTTCCAGGAAGATTACAATAAATTGAAGCTGCAGCTGCACGCTGTGAAAAATACCGTGTCAGACATTATGGCTCAAATGGAAATGCTGGAAAAGGAGCTCATTGCCATTACTTCTCCAATGTATGAAGCAACCATATAGAAACTGGCAACTGAGCATCAGCTTGGAGAGATGTGAAGCTTTGTGCAATAAGACCTGCTAATTCTCTCTTTGTTTCAGGGAACCTAACAAAATTCCAGTAGAGCCTGAAGGGATCTGTGGAACATTGTGTTATTCTGAAACTTTCTTACATTTCTTAGATGTGTTTCACTTTCTCATTACACAGTGTGAGTAACTGTCGTGAATTTGCCTAGTGTCAGGAAAACATGTCTTTCAGCATTTATTTTCCAACGTTTCTGATAGTAAGGCCTAGATTTTCAAAAGATAATTCATGCTTTTCACACTTAGTTTGAGGTATCTTATGTTGGCCATACTTCTCAGAGGGATGGGCGCTTCCTGAAAATGAGGATGCCAAGTGTGAGCTGAATTTGGATCCCTGGCGTTCCCTTTCTTTCTTATGGCTGGCCAAGTGTCTTTTGCCATGTACCAGCCTTCCCTCTCTGATACAGGGAACATAATGACCACTGGGTCATGGAACATGTGGCCTCCCAGAGGAGACAGGTCCATGAAAGACAACAGGACACAGAAAAACAGCCTATATGTGCCATATATATGTATTCTTGCCATTTCTTTTTCCCAGTCCAACATTCACACTTAAATTGTTTAAAGTTCTTCCTCAGAAGACAATCCATGCCTTGTCTGAGTATAACAGGACCTTAAAGCAAACACCATCCACCAGTACGGCACATGTCCTTCCACCTTGGTTATTTGTAAATTATCTCCATAATTTCGTACCTTAATTAGGCTTAATTCTTCTCAAATGGCCTTGGTTCTGTACACTTGAATAATCCTACTGATTTCAACTGAGACTATTATTTGCTGATAAACAGCACTTTTAGGATGCAGTGTGTATAGGAAAGACTGCTTAACATCTTATTTGTAGCTCACTGCTAAAAGGAAAATTCCTGTAAACTTTTTAGACCAGCTCTTCCTTGTGGCCAGGAATTGTGTCTTTGTCTCCAAACAATCACGTGTGCTTATGGAACTAACAGCTCTCTAATCTAGGAGCACTGGTATCTCTAGTTGTCAGGGCAAGGACAAGGGCAATGCCCTGTCTCTGTGCATCAGAAGCCCCTGGGTCGCTTTTGTGAGTCTGAGCTGTCTGTCTGAAATTTTCCATTGGACTTGGACATTTGAAAGCAGGATCACATGTACTGCAATAGCTTACTGTCACATGCTGAGGACTGGACTGGGATATGCATGCTGCGAGGCTGAGCCCCAATACCCTCACCAGCCCTGGTTCACCACCTAGTAGGTCCTCACCTGTCAGACCACTGCAGGCAGGTGGGGAAGGGCTGAGCTCTGCACCTCAGTCCTGCTGATTCTTCTTCTAGGATTTTTGCAGCTTGTCCTTGCGATGTCTTTTTATTTGAACTTCTGATGATTTCCATCTTTTGTTTTGAACTCTTTGATAATATATCAACTCAGCAGTGCCCTTGCCATGTGTTTTCTTCACCTTTACTTCTGTGGCTTGCAGAGCTTAGCAGCCACCATACTGTCCTGCATAAAGACCAGCTCATGCAGCACCTGCAGTTCACCATAAAGCTGCTTTGAGTGGAACTGGCCCATTGTTAACAAGTCAAAAATTTGGTCCCTGCCTCAGGGGTATGGCCTCAGGGCAAATGAAGTGAGGTCAGGCGTATGCCCATGCTTGTGGTGGAGAGGGAGAGAAAGGAAAGAGCTGTCACATTCATGTGTGGTGCTCAGGCTGTGTGGCCACTTCTTCTGGGGAGAATTGCCTCTTTCTGTACCATTGCTGAGCTGCCACATGCAATCATACCCTGGGAGGGGTGGACAAGAAGACTACAGTAGCAAACATGAGTTCCAGCTCAGAGTCCAAGGCCATACTCACAACCATCTGCTACAAAGTGCTGATGAATAAAGGAAGATCCCTCCTCCCAGACATCATGGTGGGGCCACAGGAGTGAATGGAGCAAGCAGCAGGCCCACATCTCCCGCACAGAGCAGTGAGGTGTCTCTTGATTTCTTGAACAGTCAGGTAGAGCAGGCTCTCAGCTGCTCCATAGCAAGCAAGTAGGTTGCCAAAAGTGGCATTTTGGTCACCATTCTGTGGCTTAAGCTGGTACTCAGATGTGTATCTGCTCATGCCATGAAAGGAGACACTAGTCTTGAAAGACCTGATGACACAGGAGATGGAGAGCCTGCTGATATGCTCACATTTAAAAAATCTGCTTTAAGTTGTGTGGCCAGAGTGTTTGAAGATGCATTTTCCTCCCTGTCCTGGACAACCTCTTATGCAGTGCAATTTGTCACAATCTTTCAGGCAGAATACGGGAGAGTCTTTAGGTAATCTGACAAGACAGGCACAAGGAGACTTCTGCAGAGCAATTTTGTAGGAGCATTATTGTAAAGCCAAGGGAAGGTTATGGTGAGGTTTACCTCTTTGGACTGGGGCCCAAGAAACATCTTGTCACTCTAGTTTATAGGTCTCTATGTGATTTGGCACCAAGCTGCTTAAAGGATGAATTATCTTTCCTCTTTTTTTTCAGTCAGACAACACCAGGCAAAATACAAGCGACTACTATTTACTTCAGAGGCTTAAAGTAAGGGATATTTTCTTTTCCTGTCAGGGCTTCACGATACTGAGGCAAATCTTATCTCATGGTTAAAGGTAAAGAGCTGGCTCTCAGTGATGCAGGAGTAGAAAGGGCTGTGTGTGTAAGACCAGGTGAGAAGGAGAGGAGCAATGGCCTTTAACAGAAGGATGTGCAGACAGCAAGTTGCTCCTGCTTAATGACAGGATTACTGCTCTATGTAGATAAATACCTCAACCCTGTTCTGGAAAATGTGTTCATGCTTTTGTGCCTTCAGCCACACTCTTTTACTCCTAGCTGTCTCCCTAGTGATGATCTGTGTCTCCCTATTGTGATCTGTGTCAAGAATTAGGAGGGGATCTACAGACATCCTAATGTCAAGCTCTAGAGGAGAGTAGAGACCGAAATGACAGGCTTTGGTCGTGTGTTTCTATTTTAAAAAAAATTATTTGTGTCCTCATAGAAGAAATATACTACTCCTTTGCTGGTGGTCAGGGCACTGACTCCTGACATATCTCTGTACATGGGCAAGAAAGACACAGATGTGCAGCTTTCTGCAAGGTTCTTGGGAGAATCATAGAATCACAGAATGGCCTAGGCTGGAAGGGACCTTAGAGATCATTTTAATCCAGCCTCCCTGTTATGGGCAGGGATGCCACCTCTCAACTAGATCAGGCAAAACATGGGGACTGAAAGGGAATCAAACCCACGACCTTGGCGTTGTTAGCACCACGCTCAACTGACTGAGCTAACCGGCCCCCAGAAGTCATCATATCTATCATCAGGCATCCAGGAAAGGACATCCAGATCTCATATTGTCATCTTGGGCTTCCTTTCTAGCCTATAGGAAGAAATGACACAATTTATCTGACCTCTCTTAGACATCCATTTTAGGATGATCTGAGTGACCAGCTGTAGTCACGTACTTCTCTCTATAATTGCTTTAGATGTTCATTTTGAAGCTCTCTATGTTAGAGGGGGCACATCCTGTTCTCTGAGTGAGGAGCTTGGTAGTCCTGAGCAGAGGAGATGCCTTACCGGGTGGTGAAGAGACACAAGCTCACGAGTGTGTGCTATCAGTCCCACTCTCTGGCTTTGCTTTCTGTGACATGTCTTCATTAAGCAACTAACCCAGATCTCTCCTTTGTGAGGGGAAATTATTACTTTGTGAATAAAATTGAGTTAGTTTCGGCATGGCTTAACTGTCAGGAACACATACAGGATCCTCAGGGGAAAATGTGATTTCTCCCAAATGCTAGCGATGTTCCTGGAGGGAATAAGGATTTGTGAGCCCTTTGTGCTTTGATCGCTGCTTTGGATCTTTGATCTTTGTGGTTATAAAAAGTCTGTACCTGGTGTACATTTTCTGGCATCTCTCCTAGAGAAGTTGGATCAGCCTACACCTTAAATGTTTCTCAAGTCTGTCATGTGCTGAGATAACAATACCCATAATGACTGCCTAGCACCTCTTCTTGCAGAGGATTCTGTTATAAGCAAACTCTCAAAATCCTAGAAGGTACCAAATCTCCAGTTTGTGCTTATTTGATCACAAACCAAACAAAGTTGGTGCCAGTGTTGAAGAATGACTTCTAGATGATGGAAGAAAAGCAGGTTATCATGACTATTGCACAAGTCTACATGAGTCCTACTCAGTGTCAGGAGCATGGGTGGTGAGACTTGACTGAGCCACCTGCAGAGTGTTGCAGGATGACACAGGGACAGTTCTAAGCACTTCCATTCTCTGCTTTGCTCCGTGACCCCAGCGAGTGACATAGACCACTTGAGTGGGGCCATCAGTGTCCCACAGGTCTCCGTGCAGGGTGGGTGCTGGTGAGGAGAGCTGAGCACACAGCTGTTGCAGCCTACTTAAAGCACAAACAGAGGAAAAATGCACCATTAGGTATTTACATAAACAACTTGTTAATTATCGTAACACTTAGGCAGGTTTGAGAAAAAATGGAGTAAGCTTTTTTTTATTTTTTTCCTAACCTGTTCACTGATTCACTTGTTCACAAGTCTCTGGAAGCTGGTAGCTGTTCTGGTTTGAAATGGATGGATGACATTCTTATGCTGCATAATTTACCTTTTTCAGAGACACAAACTTCCTGTCTCTCCTTCTTATTGGTGCTGATTAGCTCCTTATTTTTGCACTACTCATTTATCAGTACTATTTTTGGAAAGCCGAGTTTTTGGCAAGATCATCACCAGCCTCTTGCTTCCCTGTAAATTGGATTATTGCCTGTAGCTGAACTCTGTGCAAATGCTGACTTTCCTGTTCTAATTTCTTATTAGACAGTCTAATGCAGATGAGTTTATAGTGTTTTCATATAACACACAGGATGGCCTTTTGTGCTTGTCTTAGCGGCCCAAGCACATCCTCCCATCCCTAAATAGCAATTTAGGGATTTTTTCAAAGTGTTTTGAGCTTCCTTGAGCTCTGACTTGCTTTTGTTAACTGCTGAA